GTGAAACCTGCATAAAACGATTCGGTTTCGTCGCGATTTCCAAGATGAAATTGCTCGGTGGGAAGCTTGAGCTGTCGCAACGCCGCCGGACGTGTTTGAGGTGTGTACGGAGAACAAAATATTGAGCGGTATATCGTTTCCACGTAATAGGTAATACGTTATTGAGGCACGGCCTCGAAATGCACTGGTATTCCCATGTTAATGCGGATTATCGAACCGTCCCATTTGCGGTTACTAACAAATGCTAAAGTTCGTGGAACACACAGCCACGTGGTCGTGAGACCTGCGGGCATCGTTGTACAATACTTTCTTGATCGACCGACCGATCGATCGATTCGCCGTTTCGTCACGCCGATCGATCTCGCCGATCGATCCCGGGCATTGTTACACGTGTCGTCGCCTTTTGTCACGCCGCGGTGCACCGCACTTTCTATCTGCGAGATCTCAAGTCTCTTGTGTGTTTCAAGTTTTATTGTTGCAAACACTATAAACTCTCTTTATTGATTGAACACAAAAATTCGTAATAACTGCGATGCTTCCCCCGCGTATAAACCGAAATTTGGAAGAGCGGAACGTGCTGTGTAAAAGGGTAGTCGGTTTGTTTACTTTCCCGGGATAGGCCATAAATTTTTCACGCTGTTTGGCTGTTCGGAGCACACACAAACGACGAGAGAGAGAGAGAGAGAGAGAGAGGAAAGAGACAAGTAGAGATAAAATAGAATCTCGTCTCGTAGGAAAAATTCGAGCTTGTTATCCGGAAAATTCTGAATTCCCGACGCCACTCGAGAATGGCGCAACTTTCTGTCACGTGTTCCTGCGATAAGAAGAAAATACTTGCGAAGTGAAACACAGTCGCGTTTTCTCTGTCACATCTCGCGCGCGATTCTTTGCACTTTCTTTATCACGCGCGGAAACGCGTAACTATTCTTAGTTATCATTTTGACTTCGCCGTCTTCTTCGCGAGAGAAAAAAAAACCTTTTTTCGGAGCGGAAGTAATTGGTTATCGCGCGCTCGCGCGAGAGAGAGAGAGAGAGAAACGAGAAATCGACGCGACATTCGAGCGGCGGCGGCGAGATGGCACGCCGTTGGAATAGAAATGGCGGAATAACGCGAGAAAGAGAGGAAGAACGGAGAGAGATCAAGGTCACCGACGGCGAACGAAGCCAATTAGCTGGCAGTATACTCGATTAGGCCAAGCCGGCGGAAGCGCTCTCCGGACCGGAGAGAAGAAGCTACGCGCATAACGGGTCCAAGGATATACAGGAGGTATCGTGAGTACTATACTTAGGCGGATAACCGAGCGCCCGTGTCCATTAACGTCTCCGGGACCGCGCTGATACTTTCCGAGATGCTTTTCCGCCTTTTCCTCTCCCGCTCGCCTCGCACGTGATCCGAGACGAAATAGACGAAAAGAGAGAAAGAAGGCACAAGAAGAGAGCTCGCTGCCAATTCAACTTGAGATGATAACGGTACTCGGCTTCTGTTCAACATTCGCCGCCTGCGCGACGGCGTTCTTTTGCACCGGCGGCGAACTTTGAACCTGACATCGTCGCGCGATAACGTTTCGAGTAACTCCTATCCTCGTTCACGTCACCGAGTTCTGTTAGATGCTTTGCCTCGTGTCTCGCAATCGCGCACACAGACGACAAACAGATAAACTCTCGCGCCCTCAATTTTCCGCAAGATACTTATCGCGTTAATAAGATAAGTCGTAAGTAAATAAAAATATTTGTTTCGTGTAAAAAAAAACAAAATTAACAACTCGCGATTAATCACGGAGGAAGCAGCTGTTAGTCGAAAACGATCTACTCGGATATACCGGCGGCATTCGATTTACAGCTTTACCGTTTACTCTTACTACTTGTCGGGACTGGTTTTCCTCGTGTAAGTAAAAGCGTCGGTAAACACGCGAGGCGGATTCCACGTCGGATGTATCGAGGCTCTTTCTCTTGCTCTTTCTCTCTCTTTCTCATTCCGTCGGCGAGACAGCAGCAGAATACACGCCACGGAAGTCGAGGGAAATCGTAATCCTACTCCCCGCTCGCGAAGATCCCGTAGAAAGTCCGTGCCCTTGTGCCTCGAGGATCACGGCTTTGTCCGGCGAATAATGGCGGAGCAAACGGGAGGCGTTGGTCGGAATTAAAACGTGAGCCTGCGGATGTGTTCGGCGTTGGTTCCCCGGCCGAGGAGGGATGCTGCGCAAAAGGTTCTTTTCCCCTTCTATTCTCTCGCTCTACTTCGCGACTCTCCCTCGTCGCGAAAAACCGCGGAGGATACGTCGCGGAGCGCGATATGGCGCGACGATAGGTTGAATAATACGAGGCGGCGAGCAATACGAGCGAAACTAAACGAAAGTACAGAAACAAACAACATAATTCTTCATTCGAGAAATTAACGCCGACGCAATTCCGCTTTGTTATCATTTGTCATCTTTCTTGATATTCTTCTTGCTTGCGGAAGATAAGAGTATTCCGCGTAAACATCTTTAATAATCTTTAGCGCGACGCGTCTCCGACGCACAAACCGTTGTTTTTATAATTCGATCGAGCGAGTTTCTTTCGAAGAAAGTTTTTTAATCAAGAAATATCGACTGTCGTTCGCACAAGTATCACATTGTTGTCTCGGGACAACATCGAGGAAAATGAAAAGCTACAGAGCTATGAGAATATACGCCGGAAGAAGAGACGAAGCGTTTCTCGTCAGAAAGAGTAAAGTCAAGGAAGCTCGCCGCCCGGCTTCGTTTGTCTTAATCTAAAGACGTGCCGCGCGCGCGCGCGCGGCATCGCAAAAAAAGAGCGCATTTCGCGAGCAGCGGTCGTTAACTATCCTTAGCACCGAATCTTCTCCATTTCCCATTAGCAGAAAGCGGCTATCGTTCCTCCGCGCTTTTACCCCGCGCCCCGAGAAGGCAGGCTAATCTCTCGAGGGGTTAAGCGATCGCTTATAGCGATTTTCCTAACCCCTCCTTGCGAGATCCCCGCAGTCCGACACCCTTTCCCGCCTCGTTCTTGGCTGACGTTACCAGTTCGTGCGAGCGACGATCTATCACCATCATCCGAGATTGAGACTTTGCGCTTTCGACGAAAACAAACTGCCGCGACGTATAAACGCCACATTGCCGGCTGCTTCATATATTCGCTGATACATCGCGCGAGCGCGAGGAACGAACTTGGTCGCGGCGCGTCACGTGCGCGCGTCATTACGTTTTCTCTCTTCCTTCCTCTCTCTTTCTTTCTCGCTCTCTCTCTCTCTCTCTCTCTCTCTCTCTCTCTCTCGACGCTACCTTTCTCGCGAATGTGTTGAAAATCAAGCGGTCCCCCTTTTCTGAGTGATGCATACGACGTCGCGACGCTCGCCGAAATATTGCGACACGCGTCTTTCCGCGCTGGGGATGCTAATGTATGCGCGCGATATATATATACAAGGTGTCCTAATACTGCCGGGTTATATATTTTTTGTAATATGAATTTTTAAGTATAAATTTCTCGAGTTTCCGTGGGTATACAGTGTTCGAAATGATTCCGTGTTGTTGATATTTCGCGCGAAAACAAGCACCCATCAATTATTATTGATACAAAATACAAACAAAAGTTCTTCAAGCTCGTCACGGTAAATCCACAACAACACAAATAGAAATCAAGTATACGGTTTGTAAAAATGCTTTTGCAGAATTTATTACTGGGTGAACTGATCCGAGTTTACTCCCGTTAGTTCGAATTTGACGTTCAATGTCGAAAAAATTGCAAGAAGTAGCGCCGAAACGTCCACCCTGTATGTTTCCGAAGCGTGAAAAGTCGTCGTAAAAAATGATCCGAGCGATTTCGATTTAACAAGTCGTCCCGCAATATGCTGATGCGATATGAAAACGCGTAGAGAAATAACCAGAGATGAGTGATGTCTTATATTTTAATTTTAAATTGTAACGCTAACTTTGTTTTGTACATATTCCGAGAGCGTCCGACATGTTACTTCGCTCGCCGCGCGCTTTCGAGACATAATTCTCCCGATGTATATGAGATATAAACAGATATCGCGCCGTGCTATATAAATTAAACGGCGAACGGAATTAGCGCGCGCGCGCGCACACACAACACGGCGATGCTGCCGGGTTGCCGGTCAATTAATTCAGGGAGCTGCTTTTAATCGTCGGAGAGGAGAGCGTTCTCTCTGACGGGAAGCGCGGGCAAGAATCCTCGCGAGTGTAATTCCGCTCGTAATAAACAGGAACACGCGTCGTTATCGACACGGCGCGATCGCACGAGACGGGGCAAAGCGGTTCTCTTCTTCAGGGTCGCGATCGCTCCCTCGTGTGTAATACGCCGGACGATTTCTTTATTTAAACGATACGACCGGCCGTACATCACCGCGTCCAACTGGAAAAAAAAAAAAAGACACGACACGTCGTGCGGTTGAATATTATTAGACCGTGGAGAATAAACGCGCGAGTTAAACGATCGCGGCTCCGACGGATCCACGTGAGATTGTTGCAACTTAACGCCGACTTGTACCGTTCGCATAAACACGATCGCTATCATCGTAGCGCTAACAGTAAATCGCTGTCTTTTTGTTTTTCTCACTTAATCTCTGATCAAATTAGAGCGGAATCTTCCTTGGCATGAATTTACAAGAGAAATGTCATATTTTGCAGTATTTTTTTATAATTCTTCAAACATGTTTAATATTTGTTTACATAAAACAAAAACACTAACATATTATTCTTCTCGCGTGAGAATCACAGCTGATTATTTAAAATATTTTCAATGTCTTATTGTTTTGCCAAAATAGTTTCTCAAACTTACTGCCAGTTTACATTGACGCTAAGAAAAGGAGAAGTAAATTAAATTAAATTAATATATTCCTTTATATATACATTGTATAGATTAAGCGTTTGAGATTCGAGAGAGAAAAGCTTGAGAGATTTGGTTCTCTCGTTGGGGGGAACTTTTGGGGAAAGAGGCGACTTGAAAAAATTTGCGCGGTTAAAACACGGATGACTCACCGGTGAACGACTCCTCTCGAGTGCATGTGCTTGAGCGCGGCGACCAGCTGTCTGGCGTACAGCCTCGCCGTGTTCTCGTCCAGTTTACCGGCCGGCTGCTCCTTAATGTGCGTGCACAGGTCGCCGCCGGTCGCGAGTTCCGTCACGAGATAGTACACGGATCCGCACTGCAAGAAGACGTTAAATTAAATCGTTATCGATTTGCGTCGAATTCGCGCGGAAGATCGTCGTAGGGTTCTTAGAAAAAATACAATACCTGAATCGGGTTTTAATAGATTTCTAGAGCGGCTCGCGGGTTTAAGAGTTGAAGAACCAGTGTAATTTCGATGAATTCAAATTTCACCCGCTGTGCTGACGCGAGGAAGCGGACTCGGTATCTTACCATATTTCCCCAGGATTCGATCTCATCGAAATTATATTGTACCATATCGAAATTGCAGAACGGCAATTTGAATTCGAAATGTATACGTTACAATATATATATATATATTGTAACGTGTATATATATATACACGTCAACGCATTTGCATAATCGTTTCTTCGGCTCCGAAGGAGCAAGTTTTTACGCGGGATGTATTTTAATTGAAATTTACAACTATAGTTCGGGAGCAAATTGCACGTGGTAAAAGAAACATAAAGAACTGCTTACTGCTTGGATGATGTACGACGACGCGTTTCGAATTTATTAAATAACGTTAAAAGCGCACCATGTACAATCTCTTCGTATCGTTTTGTTTCGCGCTGCTTGCTTGAACGAAGCGCGGCCGTACATTTACGAGTCGCCGTTCGTGAAAATGGAGCAACAAGCGCGGCAAGAGTCCGGGACCGGTCGGTCGTGCGAAATTGATCGCGCGCATTTAAAATGCACCGCGAGGCGCATCGTAATTATCGAGAAAGCGTTTCCCGAATTTCGCGCTTGTGCGCACGCGGGAGACACACGAAGCCTCGTCGATTAAGCGATTACCTTAATGCAACGATATGCATGCGGCGACGTCGAGCGCGCGCGTGGCTACGCGTGACCGACGAATTACGGTCGATGTTGTCCTATGGCAGGGCGATGGTTTTTTTTTTTTGTCCGATGATTATTTAATTTTTTTCAGGACCGGCCGCGTGACCCGACCGTTTTTAATTATACATTCGCGAATAAATATTGCACGGAGTAGATGTTAAGCGTGAAAAATAAGACGGGATAAGACTTATAAATTATTATCTCGGTATAACTACTAAATAAATTATTTCGAACTTTTTATCGTAGTTATTTTTATAAATGTATTTTCCAACAAGATTCCAAAATACCGTTTGAGATTATTAACTTAAATAAATTATAGATTTAGAACAGATGAGGTAAAGAAAAGAAATATATATTTAAATAAAATATTATTTTAAAATATTATAAAAAAACTACTATACAAAACACTGCCGTAGTTGTACTTTTTGGATAACTTGCTCGATTGTCCGGTGGATCAACGGGTCAGAAAACAAGTGAAAAAATGTTGTTTCGCCTGATTTAAGCAACGCGCAACGTACGTTTGTTCGGCGCGGGGGAGGCAGTCCGCGAAGAAACTTAGCCAATAGAAACTAAACGAGAACTTTCGGAGACCACTTGCGAAGTCAATTCGCAGCGCTCTATCTCGCTTGGCAAAGAATCGTCGTCGCGTTGGCGAGGGATTCGCCGAATACGCTTTGCCAACCGAATCAACCAGAGGGGGACGTGAGATACGCGATTTCGATGTATCACCGGGTATGGGTAAAATAGGAACGTAAATTCGGCGTATGTAAACGAGGGAAGAATCGTAGAGACGGGAGGAGAACCGAGAACGCGCGCGCGCGCGCGCGCCGGTTCTCGGTCGTTTCTCCGAGCGAAACAAGAAGCGTATTGGCGCTGCATTCTCGCAGCCTCGCGTGCCAAAGAGGTGTGCGAGCATCAGTTACGGAATCCTATTCCCACGAGCGGAATTTAAAGCAGACTTTTCTCCAGCGCAAATTTAACGTTCGCGTATTCTCGCATCCTGTGCGATCTTGGAATCTCTCAATGTTGTTTCTATATCGCTTGTACATGTACGTGTATATACATGTCGCGTTCTTTTTTGCCTGCGAGAGATAACGTCTGTTTCACGAGCGAAAGTTTTCTTTTTCTCCTAATATGTTCGCGCGCTGTCGTTTTTTTTTTTTTATATCCTATATTCAAACTACATCCACTTTATTTGCGCGACACGAAACATCCTCGTGTATATACAACCGAACTCAAATAAATATATATTCTTGGAAATTCTCGTGACATTGTGCGCGAGATGACATCACAGACTAGAGCTCGAGATCGACGTAATACAACGCGCGTTCATTTTTATTGCGATTTCGTCCGGCGAACGATGGGCGCGGCAACGACTTTGTCGGACGACCGGGTAACAGACGAGTTCTACGCGATTCATCGGCTCGTAACATCGGCACCGACATAAAATCGCGCGCGTTTACGGCCGTCGTAGGCCGACAATAATGACCTTAATTGGCGCTTAACGTGGCTTTTCGCCGATATACCGAGCGTGAGTGACGCGTTGACGAACGTGCATCTTCATAAAAAAAACGAGGGACACTACGTGCGCGCGCGCGCGCTTTCCTGTCCATTATGCAACATTTTAGAAATATATCGAGATTTAGAAATGTCTTTCTCACTTGCCAGCCGGTAAGATGCGTCGCGCGCGTACGTATAAACCGCATTTCGCAAAATAAATTATTTATAAATATATGGAAATGTGCTAGACAGAACTTGCGAGACTGAGACGCGTTTGGCTGTCAGCGACGTCAGAATCCGGGCTCTATCAATAATTAATACAAAGAGAATCGGCCGTTTGCATAGTCGATTAGGCTTGGCAGCGTCGTACGATGTCGTCGTTCTAAAAGTAAATGTGCTATCGCCACGTCACCGGCAGGCGATCGCGCGAAAGGCGAATCGCTTGGAAAAACGAATATTATACTTTACGACTTGCATGCACGCGCAGATGTTCCGAAGAATCCAGCGGGATCGGCAGCCCGAAAATCGACAACCCTGTAGGCGCGAGTCTCCCCGTCGTAGTCGTAAAGATTACGATGTGGAAATGAGATATAGGACTACGTCACACACATATAGCCAATTTGGCGACGGCGAGAAAGCCACGGGGAAGGAAGAGATAGAGAGAGAGAGAGAGAGACGGAGGGCGCGACTTCGTCTCTCGATATTATCATATTTGCCGTCAGGTGCGAGCATTCTCATCGCCGATAGCTCTTTCCCCCTCGATGGATAGCTTAAATAAAACAAGACGCGCGCACCTTCTATCCGCGCGTTTTATAAACGCGAGAGTAATACCATCTGTAGGCTATAAAATCATTTCCGCCGAAAGAGAGAAAGGAAGAAAGAGAGAGAGAAAGAGAGAGAGATAGAAAAAAAAGAGTGGAATCGAACGGCGCTCAATTTCATAGCTCGTTTGTCCATTTATGAGAGGAACGCAGGAACGATAGCTCTTATCGCGGATATTTGCGCATTTTTTGTCGCGCATTCGATTTTTCGCGTAATATCCAAAAATTAATTTTCCGGCACTATATTGTATTTAAAAAACAAAACCAAACTTACAAAAACATGACGTAAACAACAACGTGAGCCTGTAAATAAATGGAACTTCGCGATAATAAAAAAAAAAAGACACGAGAAGAAAATATCGGAGTCTCGTGAAATGGAGAAGATGACATTTGGAAAATAATCGCGATAGCAGGCCTGTCCGAAAACATTTCACAGACATCGGCGCGGCCGTTTCAGTTGGCCGCGCGGGAATATTTTCAGCTCCGAAAATTCTCGAATCGCGCTCAAGGGAGAGCTATCGCACAGTCTTTATGCGTATACCCGTCATATTTTCCTACGTACTTTATCTTTCCCGGCGCGTATACACCCTCGGTCCCCGTAACTCGATCGTGACGAGCGAGCGCGCGCGGACTAACAAAATTTTCAGAGTAAACGAGGTGCGCGATGCTGCGCCGCCGAGAGCCTCTGATATCGACGTCCCACACATGAATTCAATTACGTCGTACAAGCGCGCGCGCGAGAGAGAGAGAGAGAGAGTGAGAGAGAGAGAAAGAAACAGCCTCTTTTTTTTTCTCTTCTCGCACGCACCCTCGACTGTATGCGTGCACGTGTACACGCGTACGCACGTGCACCCGCGAGTCCGCGTGTTGGGTCAACGTTCGCGTCCGCGGCAGTCGGGTCACGTACGATGCAGCGCGTTAATGGTGCCGGTCCAAACTACCTCCTCGTATCGGCACAGAAAGAATTGCGACTCAAACAAAAAAAAAAAATAAAAAATTTGTTTCAAGTTTACTCTGGCGAACACAGAAAACCTGTGCGCGCGAGTTCGATTTTCGCGGCACTGATTGTAGACACGCGAAATTGTATCCTCCTCGATCAAATATATACGCGCTTTCTGAGCGTAAATCAATCAACGGCACGTCGTCGGCGAAGGAGTTTATCTATCGCGAGCGGCATGAAAATCGAGATCATGAAAAAACAATCATTTTGCTCACGAATCTCCCTCGTATAGACGCGGGAAGTTTCTCAGGAAGTAAGACGGTTAAAGGGGTGAAAAGCTCTTTGACGCGCCTGCTTCATAAATTCAGTTAAATGGCGTGTTTAATTAAATCTAGAAAGATGGATCATCTCTTTCTCGAGAGAGTTGCGTTAACAGACTCCGACAGCGTTCCGAAAGTATCAGAATACTCTCGATTTGTCACGCAGTTCTGACAAACCGTCATGTGCCGAAGTGAGGAACAGCGTTCCGCCGCCGAAAAAAAAAAAAAAAAAAACGTGCGAATTGGGAGAGATTAAAGAGAAAGAGAGGCGATAAATACAGCAATAAGTTCTCTTTCTGACGAGGAGAACGAATAGATCGCTGTGCGAAGACGCGCAACGATCGAATCTTGGCGCGATCGACCGTGGCGAATTGTCTTTTGTTATCAAGAACTCGATTAAACTTTCGGCGTGGTCAATTAGGATAAAGAGATTTGATCAATCGTCTCTCGAAATCGTCTCTAAAATGATTGCGCTCGGGGGCGAGACGTTCTTCCACTCACCCGGATAGTTTCGTAGAGCCTCACGATGCTTGGGTGCTGCAGCATTGACAGTACCTTCGCCTCCCTCGTCAGGTTCTTCATCACGTAGTCCTTCTTGCCTTGCTCGAGATCTATTATCTTAATCGCCACCTGAAACAAGAGAAGAGAGAGACTCACATAATTAATCGTGCGCGCGCAGTTAATCCGACCTATTGTTGTTTCCCCAGTGATATACAAAAATATATATCAACAATAAAATATATTTTCGCAGTTCGCGAATAATATCTTTCATCGGTAGAAACAATTTTAAACGCGGAGTTTAATTTGTTGACGATATTTTTTATCATTCAAATTGTTCTGCAGATATTCACGTCAAAAATAATAAATTACACGTTACAACGCGGCGTAAATTAAAGCGTCCCTTTTAAGCAAATTAAGATGCTGCCAGGAAGGCGGGTGAGTAAATAATCGACACACGCACACACACGCACACGCACACACGGGATGGAGAGAAAAAAAAAATTCACGTCAATACGACGACGCGCCTCCGGTTGAATAAACGTTTTTTTTATTCACGCGCGCGCACGCTGCTCCTCGAGAGAGATATTTTTTTCTCGAGCGAAAAAAAAAACGCGCGAGTTTATCCTCAGGGCTTTTAGGGATCAATCGCCCCGTTTTCTCTCCTCCCAGAATTGCCAGCACGTCAAACACCTTCCATATGCCTCCTTGAGGAGCAACAAGGCTTTTCCACGGAGGGTGAAGGTGAGCGTACGAGCGAGAGCGAGAGCGAGAGACGAAGAACGCGACGCGTCGGAAAGAGACGCCTTGCGATTCGAATATGTTAAGACGTCGCGCACAGGAAGGGGCGCGCCTTCACGGTCTCCTGTCCCTTTGATGTGCTTGTAAAGGGCCGGAGGCGGTAATTCGCGCGAACCTAAGCGATTGAAATGGCGACTCACCCCGCCGCGCCCCTCGCAAAGGAGGAAACTGTAACGCCGAATTATATCAACTGAAGGCTACGTGTGTGTATGCGAGCCGAATGCAAATTAACTTGCGGGAACTTCGCCACCGCGGAGCTTCCTCGTGTCTGTGAAGATCTCTCTATCTTTCTGTCTGTCTGTCTCTCTCTCTCTCTCTCTCTCTCTCTCTCTCTCTCTGGTTTTCCTATTCAAAGTCGGAGACGTCGGTAGCCGCCTGTAGAAACAGGGGCGACTTGTCAAATCTTCAAATATGAAGTAAAATTACGTTCGACTTAAGGGTGAAGAGGTCGAAAAGAGCGAAAAAACGGGAACGGTAAAAGAATTTAAAAGTTGCGGTGCATTCCACTCTGCGCTTAAGCTGATTTACGTTCTTGGCTCTTCATTTAATAATCCAACTGGTACCTTGGAAGGAAAACTTAAAGAAACTTTTCTCTCTCTTTCCTCTCCCGCAACGGTTTGTTTCGAGGGAGCGGAATGTTGCGTCCTCGAGTTTCCTGGTTGTCGGTAAGAGCGGGTCGCATATCATTAGCGGCGTCGGTGGCGCCGGCGTTCTTTGATCTTTCTGCTCCCTCTCTCTTTCTGCAGCGAGAAGAAGAAAAAGAGATACGAACCAGCGAGAGTAAGAGAAGGATGGAGAAGCAGAGGAAGAGGAGCGTTCCTGTTCCGGTATCGTTTGTGACGCACGAAGCGCGTGAAAGAGAGAAAGAGAGAGAGAGAGAGAGGGAGAAGGAGGGGCAGATGGGACATAAGCGGAGGGAGAGAAACGAGGACTCTTGCGCGTTGAGCTCAAGGTAGACCTGACAGCCTCCCCAAATGATTTGTGGCGCTCTTCGCCAGATACAAGATACTAATTCTTTAGGCGCTGTCAGTCGACCGGCTACCGCTCGCCACTGTCGACTCGCTCTCTTTTGCTCTCTCTCTCTCTTTCTCTGCCACCCTCTCTCTCGTCTTTCCCTTCTAAGTTTCTCTCTTGTCTTATCTCTGTTTGCATTATGTTACAACTCAGTCAACTGACGCGCCGCTCCACCGTCTCGTCGCTTCACATTATGATCGTTACCACTTCCTCTTCAGATGCCGCGAACGCACAATGGATCGATCGAGTCGAAGATACTGCGCGAGATGATTGCGTGAGAATGTAGAAATATTTCCGAGAAGATGTTCCCGAGATGAGGAGAAGCTGTCACAATTACTGAGAATTTTGTTTGTACTGTTCCTACATAAGGGCTCTTCTTCCTTATTTTGCGTGTGATTATCCTTCTCGTCTTTTATATTTCCTCTTTATCTCTCTCTCTCTGTTTGCGTTCTGATACAACTCGGTAAACTGAACGGCTCCGCTCTTCGTTTCGCCGTTACTTCTTGTTTGACATTGTAATATGCTGAATCGATCTCGGCACTCGCGATCCGTCAGTGCGGATACGCGAGTCGCTTCCGCGAACTCGTCTAGGTCTTTATCTCTTTGATTTCTCTCTTTCTCTCGTTTTCTCTTAAGAAGGTTATATGAAAGGGAAGAGAGGGAGCCTATTTCTCGCGAGCAGTATTACGTTACAACTTAGTCAACTGATGCATCGCTTTTCATCTCATCGCTCTCTGTTACCGACCAACGTTGCCGTAAACTTTGTAAACCGTCGCGGTATGACGGATCGATCCGCGGAATGGAGGGTAACGTGATATTCGCGCGGTACACGTGTTAAACCCTTAGAAAATAGACTCTGCAGGACGTGATAATAAATATTCACGTAAGTGATATCGTCTCTCTCTCTCTCTAAATTGCCTAATACCAATTTTACTTGACGCGCGCGTAACCAATTATACGTTATTAGTAATTATACGTTAGTAATAAAATGAACGATTTTCAGAATGTCAGTTTGATTCTTCGTCAACTCATTTTTTTAATTCAGTTTTTCCATTCACAAAAGTGACTCTTGTCGCGGTTATTCGACGCGCGCAAAACATTCTCGCGCAACATTTTGTCAAGCGGATTTACGCGAGCGACAATAAGATAAATTTTCCTAACGCATTCGTCCCCCGATTCAGATCGTCGTTGCAAATGCGACGCGGAATTTTCTTCGAGACGCGCGAAATGAGGTCGAGCGGCGGCGGCGGCGGCGGCGACGTCGTGCGGAGATGAGACGCGAATAAAGTAGTTCTATTTGCGCGGGCGAGAGCACGTCGAGAAGGGAAAAACCGGGACCGTAATAATGTTTGCGAAAGCCACATTAAGGTATCCATTTTAGAGATCGCTTACTAACGAATATTTCTGCGTGGGTCGAGATATACGAGCGAGCCGCCGCGCGCTGCTACACACACCCAGTATCCCGACCTGTCAAGGTCTCCCGCGGAGGGCACAGGCGCGCGCACACTCACGTGCGCGTCTCTCCCTGTATCCCGTTTCACAATACGAAGGAGCCGGGGATACGAGATTGTCGCTATAAGCCACACGTTATACGCGCGTGACTCCGGCCGAGATCGTAATCGAGCGACGCGTCTTTGATGCTGCTTCTTCACAACTACAAATAACGAAGAGAGAGAGAATCTTAAAAGCCGCTGTATTATTTATATTACGAGAGCAAGTAGGATGGTGAAGGAATCGTTGCTCTCGGTTAAAAAATTATGTAACTGTAAGAGATGCCAGTGCGACGTCTCATTCGAGCGATCGAGATACATGGAATAATTACAAGATGTGTGTTTTACATTATACAAAAGAAATTCTCGACAAAAAAAAATCGTTTTAAAAATATTGTCACAGAAGCAAATTTTTTGAAGAGCGATAGAAATCAAAATAATAAACTTCCGCTTTTAGTTAAACTCGAACGCGGTAAAGGCTGAGTGCGAGAAGGAGGTGCAAACTTTCTCTCTCTCTCTCTCTCTCTTTCGTGAGCGAGGGACGGAAACGTGACTGTCCGGCCGTTATCATAAACGAGCTGCCAATCGAGGTGCTCGCGGCCGCGGTGTATATCGGGAACGGGAGCGGCAGCCCGAGCCGCTCTTATAACTCTCGCGCAATTGGAGGGCCGTAATTCGAAGCGAATAATTGACCGAATGGCGCGGCCGGTGGCGGCGTTTCAGAGGTTTACGGCCAGTGGCACGACCTCAATTTCGCTCCAGCAATCTCTGCCCGCGTCCGTCCGCCTGCCTTGCCCGAAAAGCCATGACCGCGCGCGCGCAAGAGAGAGAGAGAGAGAGAGAGAGACAGATCAGTTCAGGCGTTCTCCGCGTCATCCTGGCCCAAATCCAAACCATCGATCGCCGGACGATCAGCGAACGTGCGGTCCGTCGTTAATACTCCGGGGTCCGATGAATAGATCGCGCGACGGGAGAGAACTACGCGGAAAATTAGCCACGGCTACTAATCCATATTGCGTTCGGTATAGTCTTCGCGAGGGTGCGAATAATTTCGACGTTGATTGGCGACGAGAGGCAGAAAATAAACAATACAGAGACCGGGTTTTTAATTGTTGTTTTAATTGCGAAGTATACATACACTTCTGAGAGATTCACGGATCGCTGACACGTAAAAACCGAACAACGTGTAAATTCGCTTCCGGACTAGTGTGTGCTTTTGTTTTTTGTGTGTTTTTTTTTTTTTTTTTTAATTCGCGTATTCGGATGTTAATCTAATCGGGATAAATCGAACCCGTCCATTTTCATTGAAAAACATTCATGTACGTTTAATATCCGGCTATTCGTTTGCCGGGATCGCGCGCGGCCGAATTGCAGCTCCGAAATTAAAAATCCGTTCGCACGGTGCGACGGTTACGAAAAGCTTCATCCGGGCGTGATGCACCTATTCCGCCCATACCCTATATACCCTATCTATCTACGCGACTCGGGGGAGGCGGAGGAAGCTGAATCGCTATTAGCTACACCCGGGGATTCCCCGTTACGCTTCGCCGGCTCCACCTGCCTTACTGCAGGCGCAAAAAAAAAAAAAAAAAAAAAAAGAAAAAATATGAAGAGTGCGCGACCTGAAAAAAAAAAAAAAACCCGGAGCGCCCCTCGCCGCGCTTTTCTTCCTCGCCTCGTCTCCGCAACGGGTAGCATTGTGAATCCCGACGAAACGTCGGACAGATAATCACCCGGGGTTGAAATCACGAACGACTGTATTTTCAAGATCCATTGAATAGGAGACTTCTCTTTCATGCCGTGAGACTCGCCCGTTTCACGTCTAAG